AGGGGTATCACAAAAAAGTGGGGAAGTCTCGCTAAAACTAAAAACAGGACATTGGTGATTGAATTGTGTGCAGTTTTGCACTTGGTAGAAGAATACTCTTGCACAGAGCAGGTCAGTGAATGCTCAATAGGCTGGTTGCAGGAAGGCAGGCATTGACCAATGTGGAAATAATGAACAGGTTGGGTCTATGCTCACTGGAGTGGAGAATAATGATCTTATTGAAATTTGAGATTCAGAGGAGTTTGGCAAGGTAGCTGATGAATGGATGTCTACACATCAGAAAATCCTAACTTGGGGGTAGAGTTTAAAAAAGTTTGGAACTTTCACCTCCTAAAGCATCATTAATCTCTGGAATTCTTTCAGAGAGCGGTGGAGATAGTAGTCTTTGAAAAAAAAAGGGAGGTGGAATTTGGCTTTTTTTGATTAACAAGGGAGTCAAGAGTTTATGCAAGGGTAGTGGCAGGGTGGAAGGGGAAAGAACAGAATGGTGCTTTAAAAGAATCATCCATGACCTTACTGGATAGAGGAGCTGGCCAAACGTGCAACTTCTGCTCATATTATTGATGTTCCAGAGGGCAAGAAATGAAACATGCAAGTTACAATTCCTTGAAAAATCTCACTTTTATGGTCCAGTTTATTTCCCAAATCTCAGGCTCTAGAAATACCTGTCAAACAGGGTGGTGTTCAGTGCAAAAAGATAAAGCGTGCTCCAATCATGTGCAACTACAAATGCCAATGGATGATCCATTTCAGTTTCCTCCCAAAGATCCCCAGCACCATAGGTACCAAGCTTTAGTCAATTCAATTCACTCCACTCCACTCCACAACAATAAAGAAATGGCTGAAGACATTGGATATTGTAAAGGATATGGGCCCTAACATCCCAGTAATTGTACTGAAGTGAATTACTGAAGAACAGAAACAGTTGCTGGAAAAGCTCAGCAAGTCTGGCAGCATCTGTGAAGGAAAAAAAAAAGTGTTAATGTTTCGGGTCCGGTGACCCTTCCTCAGAACCAGACCCAAAACATTAACTCCTTTTTTCCTTCACAGATGCTGCCAGACTTGAGCTTTTCCAGCAATTTTGTGTTTGTTCCTGTTCCTGATTTACAGCATCCACAGTTCTTTCAGTTAACTGAAGAATAGAATTGTATTCCAAAACCAGCTATACTCCTATCCCAAGCTCTTCCAGTATAGCTGTAGCACTGACATTTACTATACAATGTGGAAAGTTATCTAGGAATAGAGTCCACAAAAAGCAATCCAATCTACAAATTACCACCTTAGACCTCTTCTTAACATAAACAAACAATGTATATCTTGCTTATAGTCATCAAGTGTTCACTGAAGCTTTTTTATCCTCCCCCAAAGGAGGGTCTAGGCCTGAAACGTCAGCCTTCCTGCTCCTCTGATGCTGCTTGGCCTGCTGTGTTCATCCAGCTCTACACCTTGTTATCTCCTGACCCAAAAAGTCAGCTTTCCTGTTGCTCTAATGCTGCCCGGCCTGCTGTGCTCCTCCAGCTCCATACGTTGTTACCTCTATTTTTCATTGAAGCTTAGTTTGGGTTGTGTCAGGGTCATTCAGCTCCTGACCTCATTACAGCCTTTTTTACGCATGGACAAAAATAGCTCAGCTTCAGGTGAGGTGACGTAATAGAGATTGCCTTTGACATCATGGCAACATCTCAATGTGGCTTTAATGAGCTCAAACAAAATCAAACTATCTAGTACAGGGTGGGTGGAGGAGAAAAAAAAAAGAAAGAAAAAAATCACTGGCTGGAATCATAACCATCTTCCTTTTGTAATCTGTAGGTTTTTTGGAAGCCATTCGACTCAATGCAGTCCCAAGATATCACTGCAGAAGTTACTCCGGGCAGTAACTTCAGCCCAACTATCTTTAGTGGATTCATTTTTCCTGAAGTCAGAAGTGAAGTATCTCACTTCTGCTTGCACAATTTATAACTCTTCAGATACTGAAATTATCCAGTGATCATAGAGAACAGGACCTGGACAAAATCTAAGCTTGAGTTTGGAAATAGCAAGTAACATTCATGCATAATAGTGACAGGGAAATGACCATCACCCTTTGACATTCAACAGCAATACCCTCACCATCACCACTTCCGTCACTACCAATATTCTGATCATACCCCCGACAAGAAGTTGAACTAGACTGGCTACATAAAAATTACATGGGCACAATAGCAGGTAAGAGATTGCGAATCTTGAGGTAGGCAATTCACCTCCTTATTCCCCAAAGCCTGTCATCTATAAGGCACAAAACAGGAATGTGACTTAAGGTTTTAGCAAAGATTTGGCTTTCATTGACAGGGGGATTGAGTATAAGAGCCGCAAGATTATGCTGCAGCTCTATAAAACCCTGGTTAGACCACACTTGGAATAGTGTTCAGTTCTGGTCACCTCATTATAGGAAGCATGTGGAAGCTTTAGAGAGGGTGCAGAGGAGATTTACCAGGATGCTGCCTGGACTGGAGGGCATGTCTTATGAGGAAAGGTTGAGGGAACTGAGGCTTTTCTCATTGGAACAAAGAACGATGAGAGGTGATTTGAAAGGAGGTAAACAAGATGATGAGAGGCATAGATAGAGTGGATGGCCAGAGACTTCTTCCCAGGGCGGAAATGTCTATTACGAGGGACATAATTTTAAGGTGATTGGAGAAAGGTATAGGGTAGATGTCAGAGGTAGGTTCTTCGCAGAGAATGGTGGGTGCGTGGAATGCACTGCCCGAGGTGGTAGTAGAGTCAGATACATTAGGGACATTTAGGCGACTCTTGGATAGGCACATGGAAGATAGTAAAATGTAGGGTATGCAGGGTAGATTGATCTTAGTAGGATAATAGGTCAGCACAACATTGCGGTCCAAAGGGCCTGTACTGTGTACGTTTTTTTTTAAAAAACAAAATTGTACCTCTGGTTGTGGGCAAGATTGTTGCCTTGCTCACCGAGCTGGCTCGTTTTCATTCAGATGTCTCATCACCACGCTAGTTAACATTCGTGAGGCCTCCAATGAAGCAATATTGTTCTACTCCACTTGGAATTTGCGCTGTCTGGTCCATTATGGTGAGTAGTGTCAGTTCCAGTTTTGTTCTGTATGGGTTTGTTTAAGGTGTCCAATTCTGTGTGTTTTTTTTTTATTGCATTACAGTTGGAGAACCATGCCTCCAGGAATTCCACTGTGTCTCTGTCTGGCTTGAGCTACTATGGTTACCTTTTCCCAGTTAAACTGATGGCCTTCCTTGTCAGACAGCATACCGATATTAAGGAGAGTTTGTCATGTCATTTTGTTGCTAGTTGATATTAGTGTATTCTGATGGCTAGCTTACTTCCGGTGTCTGTCTAATATGATGCTTGTGGCAGTTGTTGCATAGTATTTTGTAAACTACGTTGGTTCTCCATGTTGTGGGAATGGGGTCTTTAATCCTTGAGAGTGTTTTTCGTAGAGTGGCTGTGGGCTTGTGCTACCATGATTCCTAGTGGTTGTAGGAGTCTTGTTGTCAGCTCTGATATATTCTTGATGTAGGGCAGTGTGGCCAGTGTGTTAGGGCATACTGTCCGCTATGAACAGAGATCCCCGCAACTTCATCCACAAGTGCTTACTAAATAGACAAAAAGAGGACGCACGGCAGTGTGGCCAGCGTTAGGGCGGACTGCATCCTCTTTTTGTCTATTTAGTAAGCACTTGTGGATGAAGTTGCGGGGATCTCCGTTCATAGCGGACAGTATGCCCTAACACACTGGCCACACTGCCCTACATCAAGAATATATCAGAGCTGACAACAAGACTCCTACAACCACTAGGAATCATGGTAGCACAAGCCCACAGCCACTCTACGATAAACACTCTCAAGGATTAAAGACCCCATTCCCACAACTTGCAGAACCAATGTGGTTTACAAAATACTATGCAACGACTGCCACAAGCATCACATTGGACAGACAGAAAGTAAACTAGCCATTAGAATACACAAACATGAGCTAGCAACAAAACAGCATGCCAAACTCACCTTAATATTGATACACTCTGACAAGGAAGGCCTTCAGTTTTACTGGTACAAGGTAACCATAGTAGCCCAAGCCAAAACATAGACATGCATGGAATTCCTAGAAGCATAGTTGTCCACCCATACCGCAATTGACAAACATATAGAATTAGACCCCATATACAAACCCATACATAAATAAAACTGGAAATGACACTAGTCACCATAAACAGACTGGACAGTATAAATCCCAAGCAGAGTGGAACAACATTGTTTCATCTGAGGCTTCACTGATATTACCTAGCATGGTGATGAAACATCTGAATGAAAACAAGCTGGCTTGGCGAGCAAGTCAACACCTCACAGGAATGTGATGGAATACCCTCTACATGACAAAATGAAGTGAATGCAGCTCCAACACCATCCAGGACAGGGCTGTTTACTTGATCAACAGCCCATCGGACACCAAGAATTCACTCCTTCCTCTTGTTGCTCCAGGCTTAGATATATTCTATACAAGATATGCAGAAGCAACACGCTAAGGATCCAGTGAAAGCACATTCCAAAACAGTAACTACTATCCTCTACAAGGAGGAAGACTGCATGCAATGGGAACACCAAGTCATGCTATGCTGCATGGAACATATGGTGATGCTACCAATTAACACTACTCCCAGCTTAGAACAAGTTTATAAATAAGAAATGAAATGTCATCTTACTGGCCACAGACTAAGGGTAAATATTAGCTCGAACATTGAACTATGGTTGTGCCATGAAATCTCTAAATTGGCACATGTTTGTAGTGTCTCTTTAAGTGATCACCAACATCCATCAATATCACACTAAATTCTATACCTCTGTTCAGGTCATAGATTCAGGTTAGGGTTGAATCAAAAGTCTTTTGAAGATTGTACAATTTCCAAATGTTTTCATGTGGAAGGACACATGGCATACAGAAATACATTTAGCATTTTTTTTTAAAAATAAAAACAAAAACTTACATTAGACCTTTTGCATCCTCAGATAGGTGAAATTTTATTTTTCCTTCACGAGAGATTAAGTCAAGCATGGAGTTGAAGGTTCTTACAGCCTAAATAGGGTTACAGAGAAACAAAGTTATTTGCTTTATAGCTTACAAGAAGATAATTACCTGAAAGATATCATACCTACCTCTAGTCGTATAGAAATTTTAAGACGGAAGTCAGTCACCCCGTGCCCTAATTGTATCACAAAAGTGTCCATAAGTTGAGTTCTCCCTATTACAACAAAATCAAGTAAGAAGTTGTCAGAGTTTTGAGTGTCAATTCCAATTTCTAATTATCATCTGTAACCATTGATAATTGAAACTTTTTAAAATATAATGTATCATCATAGCTATACACAGCAATTTTACCCAATCATTGTAGAGTTCATTTACTGACCAAAATCCTCTATTTCCATCCAATATTTTGTCACTAAATCTTAGGCACTTTTTCCTGCCTGATTGTGGCAATAACTTCAGCATTGACAGATAGGAACAAGATTAATAATTGACATTCAACCACCTTAGGCAAACTTCGTTTCCTTCACGAGAGTCAGGCACACTGTCTACTTTGAGGCTCCAGAAATGCCAACATCTCACTCAAAAAATCTCTCAGTTTCAGGAAGCCAGATTTGTGGAGAGTTTTCTTTTAGAAACTTTGAACCTCAAGTAATGAAGTTATTAAAGAGAACATTCTTCCATAAGACAATGCAATTACTTTTCCAGAAGTTTAGACAGCAAAGTTTTATTAGTTTAGGAAAGGAGTTATTGAAGCATTACACAGGTGCAGAAAGCATGCAACAAAAATTAGCTGTTTAAAGTATACCTCAGCACCAACAGATAGATTTGCAAGATGCAAACTCCATTGAAAAACTAGGTACAAATTTATCTTGTTTGGAGAACCAGGAGACTTGTATTTAAAATTATAAAGGAAATTAGCTTTCTTTTAAATTCATTGGCGTTGCTGCGTGGCCAGCATTTATTGCCCATTTCAAGTTGCCCTTGAGAAGCTGCTGATGAGCTGCCTTCTTGAACTGCTACAGTCCACCTGCTGTGGGTTGCCCCACAGTGCCATTTGGTAGGTATTCCAGGAATTTGGCCCAGTGACATTGAAGGAACAATAATATTTCCAAGTTAGGGTGGTGAGTGGTTTGGAGGGGAACTTACAGGTGGTGTTCACATTTATCTGCTGCCCTTTTATTCTAGATGGAAGTGGTCAGACAGCACCTTCCAACCGATAAGGATATCTTTGCTGAATTTCTGCAGTGCATCTTGGAGATAATAGCAGCGTATACTGAGTGCTGGTGGGGAGGGAGTGGATTCTAGTGGATTTAATGTCAATCATGCAGAATATTACAATGCAGCAGGTTGTTCTGACATAACCCACAAACCAAGTAAATGAACAAAAAAAAAAAAGCTGGAAATACTCAGATCTTGCAGCGTTGCAGGGAGATTTGATGTTTCACATTGACCTTATTGTTTACAAATAGGGACCATCTGCCTGAAAAATTAATTTTGCTTTGCAGATGCTGTAAATCAGAGCACTTTCAGCATTTTCTGTTGATATTTCAGATTTATGGAGCTGGCAATACTTTTGTAAGTAAATAATTGATAATCTACAAGTAGTAATCTTACCTTCGTTACTGCATTTACATATTGCCTAAGAAACCAAAAAGAAAAATGCAGTGACTACACTAATTTCAAGATGGAATATAAAAATTCAATTTTCTATCAACAGAATGCATACCTACCAAAACAGTATCAAACATGTCTTCAATAAGAGTCATAAGTGCTTCATTAGATTTTAGTTCTGCAGTTTTCATAAAATCAGTTGCTCGTTCAAACCATACGAGCATGTAAAAAACAAAAAAAAAATCCTAAAATATTCCATTTTCTGGTAGTTATTCTCAAAGCAAACAGTTCAGGTATATTTAGCTGTATTAATTATTAGCATAAATTGGCCTGTGATCCTTTCTGTATAATGTGGAACACTAAACTCCAAACAAGTCCTTAGGGGATTCATTTTTAAATAATGACTCACTATCATAGTGTATATACATTCAGTATTTTTAAGAATTTAAACTGCCTTAGTGGGCCAAATCAGAAGTATTTGGAGAATTAATCTCAAGACCGTTTTACTGACATTAAAAAGTAGGCAGATTATTCAGCTAAAATGCTTGATTGGACATAATCTGACTCCTATTGCTGCCCTACCTGCTGACTTTCTCCAGCAATTTTGTTTTTTTCTCCAAGATTTCCAGTATCCACAGTCCTTTGTTTCATTTTAATGCTTTTTAAGCAGAAACATGTTTATGGGTTTGTGGGTGTCACTGGCTAGAGCAGCATTCATTGCTTGTCATTAATTTCTCAGAAGGCAATGAAGAGTCATCCATTTTGCTGTGGGTGAGGAGTCATATGTAGGCCAGACTAGGTAAGGACAGCAGTTCTCTTCCCTAAAAAGATTAGTGAACCAGACGGATTTTCCAGACAAAGAATGGTTTTGTGGACTGTCAATTCCAGATTATTATTTTATTTAAAATGCTACCATCTGCCATGGTGGGATTCAAGCCTGGGTTCTCCAAATACTACCTGGGTTTCTGGATCAGTAGTCCCATCACAATCATACCATTAGGTTATCGACTCCCTTATTTCACTGCTACATCTCTTCTGGGTATTCTTACTCTGATGAAGTTTTGCTCCTGTCTCGAAATGTTCTGATCTCTCTGGTTTATAGTCAATACTTCCGTTTTCACTCCATTTGACAAGGTATTTGCCAAAACTCATTTCTCATTGGATTGCCTCTGGTTTAGACTCATGGATTCCAATTGAAGTTTCATCCTTAATTTTTCAAATCCTCCCAGTATTCACAGCTATCACCATGATGTACAATGTTGCTCAGATAGCGGTTTTCGCTGCAACCCAATATCCACACAGTGCCATGCATTGTGCACATTACATTGTCAACATTTCTCTCCGTCACACTATCTCAAAATCGTCATGCCTCTAAGCTCCACTTGAGTTGGCTTGTTCGACATTCTAACAAGAAACTTGTCATCTTCCTATCAGACATTAAGGAATGCAAGCTATGACAAACTGAAGAGGTGCCCACAACCCTCAATCTTTCTGCCCTCCCCTGATTCCATAACTTCTCCTAACACTACTTTAGCAGTTATTTACTAGCCCTTCTGGGCCTTTACCTCTTTGATGTTCAATGCTTTCTAATCAGCAAAAAGATTTAGTTATTCCCTCTTGTGCCCTCACCTCAATGAATTTCAGGCATAACTTGACATTCAAGTCTTTGTTGCCTCCACACCCATTTCTTCGAGGAAAAAGCCCACTGCTTGTCCATGACTGTCACTAACCTCATCTCATTTATGAATCTCCCCTCCCACTCCAACTTTACAGCTCAGTTTCCAACCCCACATAGCCCACCTAAAACCTACAGGCAGGGCCTGCTTGTCTCTGCATGTCCTGCCCCATTCCCCCCCCACCAAACTTTTCTCTTCCTACCTGGACTTGATTTTATCTCCTCCTATCTAGTCCCTTCCCACATGCATTCAAGATTCAAATGCTTTAAGTCAGTTTCAAAATTTCCAGTTTGTGGATATCAACCACCTCCTCTTCACCATGGATGTGCAATTCCTCTAAACGTTCATCCTTCCATCAGGATGATCTTGGGGCTTTGCTTCTTCCTGTAAAAGGTAGCATGAACTGTCCCCATCCATCACTACCCTCTTCTGCCTGGCCCAATTCATCCTCATTTTCGGGTAACTTCTCCTTTAACTTCCTTTACTTTCTTCAGATCAAAAGATGTTCTACATAGTCCATAAAGAGACAGGCATAGCTCAGGACCAGTGGCAACATTTCTTGTTCCAATCCTATTTGGATCCCTCCCAACTCTTTCTCCAGTTGGGAGACCCAATTGGAATTGCTTCCCTCTCTCATTTGGAATTTAAAAAGCTTATCAATTTCATTTCTAATTTCTACCTTGCTCTTATTCACCTGGCTCATCTCTGGCTCTTCCCTTCCTTGACATCTGTCTTTCCATTCTTAAGAGATGGACTGACCACCAATATCCACTACCAACCCACTGATTCCCAGAGTAACCTGGACTATAAGGACACCCTGCTTCCTCTAAAAGAACTATCCCATTCTCTCAGTTTCTATACCACATCTCTGTGAAAGCCACTTTCTACATGGGAGCCTCCAAAATGTTCACCCTTTCCCTTCCCCCCCCCCCCCCCCCCCCCCCCCCCCCCCAAAACAAAGAGTTCCCCATTACCATTGTTGCCAGGGCCCTTAGCTGCGTTTGACCCATTTCCCACACCTTTGCTATCACCCTTCTCTTCCCACAATGATGCACTCCCCCAATCCTCACTTTCTATCCTACCAGTCTCAGCATCCAAATGATCATAAGTCACCATTTCCATCAGCTACAGCAGGATGCCACCACCAGTCATATTCCCCTCCCTTGTCATGGTTCTGCAGGGACCATTCCCTCCAGGACACACTGGTCCACCTCTCCATGGCACCTTCCCACACAATTGCAAAAGGTGCAACATGGCTACTTAACCATTTTCCTCCCATCTAAGGCCCCCAGACACAACTTCTGGGTAACACAGCTGTTTACCTGAACTTCATTCAAATGTAGTCACTACTCACAATGTGATCTCCACCTCACCAAGGAAAGTAAACAGACTGGGAACAGATTTTCCACGAAGCTAAGCTCTGGCCATAGAAGTGACATTGAGCTTACCAGTTGTCCGCCAGTTTTGACACACCATGTTCCTATGCCAATATTTCTCCCTCAGGCACTGCAAGCTGGAAAACCAGCATCTCATTTTCCTGCAGCTTCCAGAATTTCAAAGTTGAATTCAACAATCAATAGAGCCTGAACACCACCTTCCATGTCTTTCACCCAGCCCACCATAGGTCTGGTTAACAATCCATTTGTCTCTCTAACATTTTCCTCTCCAGTCTCTGTTTCCACCTATCCACTCAATCCTTTGCAACCCCCCACCAAACCCCAGGTCAAGAAAAATACCATTTTTTCCTAGATGCCTTCAGATCTGAAGGGACTCAAAACATTAACGTTGTTTTATTTTCTGACGCTGCCAGACCTGTTGAGTTTCTCCGGCAATTTGCTTTTGCTTCAGATTTCCAGTGTCTACTTCTAAAATAAAACAAAGAACTGCAAAAAAAGTGTTGGTTGTTCATACAAGAATAAAAATATTGGATCATTAACAAAGGCCTTAAAAGGTGCACACAAAAGATTGCCCCAAACACCGGGGTATATAGTAATGCTCTCTAGTATAATTCCAATACTTGGGATTAGAGAATAAAATCAAGATAATAAAACTGGTTAGGTTATTTGATGTGGAAATAACTACACTTTAGGAGGAAAGAGGACTTTATCTATATAAAATAAAACAAAGTAGCTTAGAAGAAATACTGAGGGAGAAATCATGGAATGATTTGAACTACCTAAGTGATAGGAGGATCTCTGAAAGGAAAAGAAAGTTGGTTCCCAAATGAGACATAATAAAATGGAAGCTAAAATTATGGGCAGGTATAATACAGAAACTGAGATGACAAAGAGATAGTTTGATCTTCTTCTTGGCTGTCTATACAAAAATAAATGTTGTGGTACATATTGAGCTGAAATAAAGTACCAGAAGCGAGTACTGTTTGGAGCAGAAATATGGCCGATGTCACAAGCCAGGAGAGGTGGTGTACAAGCTTATGCAATATGGATAGCGGGAGATTTAAGGATTTTCCTTCCAACTCAGCCCCCAACCACACTACTTCTAACTCCTTCCCGAAATCCACAAATAGAACTACTCTGCAGACCCACTATTTCAGTCTATCCCTATCCCACTGAACTTATTGCTTCCTACTTGACTCTTTCACCCCCTTGTTCAGTATTCCCACTTGTACTTGTGAATCTTTTGAAGCTTTACATTAGTTCTAGAATTTAATTTTCTGCTACCTCCTCTTCATCATGCACAATTCTAGTACATCCCCCATCAGGAGTCTGAAGGCTCTCTATTTTGTCCCCCCAAAAAGACAGGCCTGATCAGTCCCCATCTACCGCCAATCTCCTTCACCTGGTTTGAGCTTATTTTGAAGAACTTTTCCCTTAATGCATCTCTTTTTCAAAGTCAAAAAGGTACTTGCATGGATCCCAGTTATGCCTGTGTGGGGTATGTGGAATATTTCCTGCTCCAGTCTTACTTGAGCCCCACCCACAATTCTGCCTCTGACCACAATTACGTCATCAGTGCTGATTCCTACTTTTGAACCAGAATTACAGAAGTTCATCAATTTTGCTTCCAATTTCCATCTTTCACTTTGCCTTCCCTCCCTTCTTCACATTCTCTGGGGTAGGCTATCCCACTAGAACGCATTATAAACCATTAATTCCCATAGCTAATGCAAACACTTCTCACCTGTTCCTTGTAATAATTTCATTCCATTGTGACAATTTCTTCTTTTAATTTCTTCTAATGATACCACCTTCCACCATCACAAGCATTTCCTCAACTGAGGACTACTCCCACCTCCTCACCACTCCCATTGTGGTTGAGGACTCAACCGTATCCAACCTATCTCCCCATTTCTGCCCTTATCCCTTCCCCTCTCACCCAGAGCAATGACAGCAGTCCTCTTGTCCTCCGTTTTTGTTGCAACACTCCAAACTCACCTTCCAGGTGAAGCAGTGGTTTGCTTGTTCTTTCAGAATTTAGTTAGATCATTTCCTTTTTAAAAAATTCTTGATCATGGTGTCACCCACACTGGTCTTCAATGGTGCTGTGTTTCTTTTTAACTATTCCATTTTCTTCCCCCTCCCCCCCCAAAAAGTTATTCTAATGTTAGTTGCAATTTCCTTTGCAGGTGCTCTTTTCCACACACATCCTGCTTGTTGTCTTAACAGCTTTAATAATTTTATAGCTCTCCTAGCCCGAATTTCCTTTTTCCACAATACCATTTGTACAGTTCAGCAATAATTAAAAGTGGAGCTTTGGTCAATTAAAAGTCTCTATATCATACCAATACTTTGAGTCTGTTTACTCATCAATAGTTCTGCTGAGGTTAGTGCAGTCAGCGAGACAAAGATTAGCACATTGTGCTGAGCAGACAGATAAAAGGACAAAACGGTTTGCGAGTAGCAAAAGGATGGAAAGGCAGTCAGTAAACTGCAAACGCACGTGTACAATTAAAATGAATTGCTGAACACAGCAATGATACAAGAATGATAAATCAATTTATGCATGTTCTTCACATTGTGTACATGTCCTTCAAGCAAACTGACTGTCATGTTTGCTAAATTATCCCAGTGAATACACACTTAGTTAACGACTTAAATGGACTTATATTTTCTGCTATAAAACTAGCTGGCAATGCCAGAGGTTTTCCCACTGTCCTCAATATGAAATGCATGCATCTGGATTTTTCTTCAAAACATTTTTTTGCCACTTCACAATATAAATTCTACCAACCATATTTAAGTTAAAAAGGCAGTTTTTGTTTAAAATAAATACTTATCTTCTGAATAAGTCCATGTTTAATTAGACAACTGAGACCATCATCGCTATCCTCTTTACAGAGCTTCTGCAATGTTTTCAACAGTAACGAGACATTTGTGAACTGATTTTTGTCCATTTCCTGAAAAACGGAGCATTAACGTTAGACAAGTAAAAACCGAAAGAACTGCGGATGCTGCAAATCAGAAATTGATGCAAAACCTCAGCAGGTCTGGCAGCTTCTGTGAAGAGAAGTCAGTTAACGTTTTGGGTCTGGTGACTCTTCCTTAGAACTGATGGCAGCTAGAAAAATGTCTATTCTTATGAAGATAGATAGAGTGGTGGTTGGGGGGTGGGTGATCAGGAGTAAGTAATAGACGGGGATAGAGCCCAAAGAGAAAGAAGAGCAGTTAGACAGACAAAGGAATGGATAATAATCTGGCTAGGAGTGAACAGCTGTTAATGGAGACTGTTAGTCCCCCTTTGTCTTCTCCTCCCATCCCACCAGCATCCACATCCAGAAGATCAGCTGCCATTTCCACCACCTCCAGACATTTCCCCTCCCTTGTCCACCTTCCACAGGGACCGTTCCCTCTGGGATGCACTGATTCACTCGTCCTTCACTCCCAATAACCCCCACAACCCCATGGCACCTTCCCCAGGAATCAAAGTTGTAACACCTGCCCATTTACCTCCTCCCTCCTCAGTATCCAAGGACCCAAATATACCTTCCAGGTGAAGAAGCACTTTACAATCTAGTCTATGGAATTCGCTGCTCACAATGTGGTCTCCTCTACATTGGGAAAACAAAGCGTAGATTAGTTAACTGCATTGCAGAACATTTACATCTTGCCCGCAAAAATGACTAAGCTTCCAGTTGCCTGCCACTTCAACACACCAACCTGCTCCCTGGCCAGCATCTGTCTCAGGCTTGCTGCAGTACTCCAGTGAAGCTCAGTGCAAGTGGAAAGAACAATTCATTTTCCACTTGGGAACCTTGCAGCCCTCTGGACTCAATATAGAGTTCAATAACTTTAGGGCTTGAACTCTATGTCTAGCCCCAACCCTTACACACCAGGCCTTGTTATCACATCCACTACACACTACCTATTGTTAGCCACTAAGTCTCCATAACAGCTAGTGGGATTGTTATCCACTCCTTTGTCTGTCCAACTGTTCCTCTCTCCCTTGGGGCTCTATTGCCACCCATCACATACCCTTTAACCCATCCCCCCACCCTATCTTCTGCATAAAAACCAACATTTGCCTAGCTACCATCAGTTCTGAGGATCACCAGACCTGAAACGTCAACTCCAATTTCTCTTCACAAGGTTAAACAAGCAGAGTTAGAGTTCATTGTTGTTTATACATTATGGCAGTGCGAGAAAGTTTCAGTACCTTGTGAGCTAGTTTATCAAGTTTGTTTACAAGTGGCTTTTTGCATTTCTGAGGTGGATATTCAGCTTCATTTGTCAGAAATTCCTCCAAAGCTTTAAATTCATTGACATTAAAGGCACCTTCAATGAGTGAACAAAGCTGCAATTAATAAAATGACAATATTTTAGTCTAGCATCCTTAATAAGGAACATTTAAGATTGTAGTTTTACTAAAAACTCAACTATCATGTTATTCAAAAACAAAAAACCAAAATGGTAACACTTTTTAAATCCATAAAAGCAGTTTTATGATACTCTTAACCACAAATTTTCAAGTATGGATCAAGCTAATTAACCAGCAATACAGTGGATTCAATTGCCACACAAGTGCTTAAATCAGCTCTGGAACACAGGACCTCAACATTAAAATACCAGTTGAAGTAATTAAGCAATACATTTTTTAAAAAAGCAAGAATAGGAGGTCACAAAACAATTTTGATGGATAAATATCAATCAAGGAAGCAGGAGGTCTGGCATTGTATCTTTGTGGGAAAGGGTCTTAAAGTGGTAATCACTTATCCTCTGGAAGAAAGTAATCATCGTTACAACACACTAGGATAGTGAGCATGGACCAGGTTTCTATAATAAATAGTGATTGTTGCTGAGTAAATAGATTTTACAGGTAAACAACTGTGAACTGTCATTATATAACTAGTTAAAACTAATCCCCTTACACACACACATGCAAACAGATTGGTAAAAAGAGCTTTCTGGGCAGAGGGAAAGTCCAGGAAGGCCAGTGATCTCTAGGAAAAAAAACCCAATTCATTTAGGAGATTAGTGTGACTGGCTTAGCCAGCATTCATTGCTCATCTAGAAGTGTCCAGAGGACATTTTAGAATCAATAACACTACTATGGGTCTGGAGTCACAGAGGCCCAATCAGGTAACAATGGCACATTTCCTTCTCTCCATGACATTAGAGAACCATGTGTTTATTAAAAAAATGTTTGTGGTCACTATTTGGCCAGCTTTTTATTTGCTGAAATGATTTTTGTGATCAGAATGCTATTTTTCAAGTTGTCCTTCTCTGGATGCTTTCATTTATTTACAGGAGGCACAGTAACTGGTTCACGCTTCTAAAAGGTGGCTGACTTATTAAAAGTCACAGCTAACAGTAACTGAAGTAGTAAACTAGTCTTTTTCTGGCTTAAAGTGGCTAAAGAGGAGCTTGTAGACATCGGATCACTTCTCCCCATCTTGTTCAGTTACCTGGGAGTCAACCACATAGTTCTGACAAGCAAAAGGCCTTTGAAATCAATAACTAGTCCACAAACTAATCAGTACTGGTGGCCAGCTGAATCTCTATTTGTCCATAGCTCATCTGCAAATTTTCCACTCCTTGAATCAAATGATTGGGAGGTGCCAGTGTTGGACAGGGGGAGACAAAGTCAGAAGTCACGACACCAGGTTATAATCCAACAGGTTTATTTGCAATCACAAGCTTTCAGAGCTCTGCTTCTTCATCAGGTAACAAATGAGCAGCACTTCAAAAGCTTGTGATTTCAAATAAACTTGTTGGACCGTAACCTGGTGTCGTGTGACTATTCAAACCAACAACCATGTAAATGAGTTCTGAGGAAGGGTCACCAGACCCAAAACATTAACTGCGTTTCTTCCTTCACAGATGCTGCCAGACTGCTGGGCTTTTCCAGCAACTGTGTTTTTGTTCCTGATTTACAGTATCCGCAGTTCTTCTGGTTTTAACTGTGTAAATAGCACTTACAATGAATATCAGATTACTTGCTTTCTAAAAAATGCAGGAATCCCTAATAAACCCTTGCTTTTTTGGAAAAGAATGTTATTTTCCCCATTATAGCTCACAATCAAATACAGAAGAAACTAGTCTTTACATCTTAATACAATGGAATTCTAAATTACATTTGAGTGCAATTACAAAATCATGCACTTTCACTGAACCAAATTAGAAGTTTGGAAGGAGATTGTTCGGGTCAAATGGATAGATAGATATGATAAAACAGAATGCTTCCCACTGTTTAAATAATTCAAAAAGCTGAAAAAAATATATTCCATTAAAAAAGTCTCTGGAAAATAGTGCCCACAGCAGATTTAATGGGAAAGTTAAGCAGTTAGAAGCATCTCTAATTTTAAGGCAATTAAGGTTTTAAACTTCTTTAGATCTTGGTTAAGGGGGTCACAGACTATTCCAAAACAAAAACGTCTCAAAACATGCCAAGTCAAGGGGTGAAAACTATTCCTGAGAGACTAGAGGGCAAAGGAACTTGTATGGAACCAGCAAATCTATTTACTGTCTAAACTTTTTTCCCCAGTCATGGGATGTGGTGTCACTGGCCAGTCATTGTCATCCTAAATTAGGCAAGAAGTTGCTAGTGAGCCTTCTTCTTGAACGACTACAGTACTTTTGGATATAGGGACACAGTGCTGTTAGAGGGGGAGCTGTTTCAGAAATTTTGTTTCACATGGACTGAATCAAATTGGCTGAAAACTAACATCTGGGATGCTGGGAACCTCAGAAGGCAGCTCAAATTATCCACTTGGCACTTTTAGTTAGGCTCCCCGGTGTTGAAAATGGCAATAATTTGTGAAGCCTCTTCCTCCAGTAGGCTGTTTATAGTTTCCAGCCACGTACAGGCATAATCAGGGATGGATTTAGGTCAGATTTACATATGAGCTTCAATAGGAAATAGGAGGAGCCATTTTGACTGACCACCATACCTTCCACCCAACCACAATCTGCACACCCCACCCCGAACAAAAGATGCTGCTGTCTTATTTAATAGAGAGTGAGAACGTGTGCAGGCAAGAGTGAAAACAAACTCCACAAAGTTGCCTGAGGCTGGAATTAAGCCCAGGTTCCTGGCTTTAAGGCAGTAGTGCTAACTACCGAGCGCTGTCTAGTTCTGTCTATTGCATGCTGCTTAAACTATTTGGCAAGTCATCTCGTGTTGTAGTATCACGATGACACCCATTTGTTTCAACGTATACTTGGTACTGCATTTAACCAAGCTCCCCTGCCGTATCTTGATTAGACAGTCTATTTATTAGAAGTAGGAACCTAGTGCTGGGCAATGAAGCGAATGAACTTTAGGGAAAAAAAGTACCACCTGAACCCTTAATCCTAACCCACTCACTGAACTTGTACTGTGTGAAATCACCTCACTATTTACACCAAACTGGGGGATTAACAGAGCTTCAATGAAGAGTGCAGGAAGGCATAGCAGAGGAAGGAACTTGAGTAATGGTACATTTAGCTCATGCTACAATTTAGGGTTGTGCAGGTAGATCAGGAAGAGACAGGTCCTGGGCAGTCCAAATGAACCAGACAGGTAATGCAGGTGCGGCTTCCCTCCCTTGTCCAGCATTGGAAAAGTTTATCGATTTTGCTTCCTATTTTCATCCTGCCCTCACTTTCACCTGGTCTGACTCCTCCCTTCCTCAACATCTCTTTCCATTTCTGAGGATAGACTAGCCACTAAAGCCACTGATTCCCAAAGCTACTTGGAGTATACAGCCTCACTCCCTGCAAAACTCTATTCCATTCTCTCAGTTCCTCCATCTCTGTCACATGTTCTGTCTGATGAGGCCAACTTCGACAAAAGGAGCCTCTGAAATGTCTACCTTCTTCCTCAACCAAGGATTCCCCAGCACTGTTGTCAACAGGGCCCTCAGCTGGGTCAGACCCATCTCTTGTATTTCAATCCTCATCCCCATCTCTTCCCTCCCACAGTGATAGGGATCCTCTTGTTCTTACCTATCATTCCACCAGCATCCACTTCCAGAGGATCATCAACCACCATTTCCACCACCTCCAGCAAGATGCCACACCAGACAGATATTCCCCTTCACTGCCCGCCCTCTGCAGGGACTAATCCCTCTGGGACACCGTAGTCCACTCCTCCTTCACTCCCAACAGCCTCACAGCACCTTCCCCTGTAACTGAAGGTTTAATATCTGTCCATGTACTTCCTCCCTCCTCAGTATCCAAGGGCTAAACATACCATACAGGCGAAGCAGTGCTTTACCTGCACTTCACACAATCTTAGTCTATTGCATTTGCTGCTCACAATGTGGTGTCCTCCACATTGAGGAAATGAAGTGTAGACTGGGTGACTGCTTCCTATGTTCTACCTGCAACAAAAAAAAAATCCCTGCGCTTTCAGTTGCTTGCCATTTCACCACCACCCTGTTCCCTGGCCAGCATTTCTCTCTCTGCTGCAGTGCTCCAAAGATCAGTGCAGGCTAAAAGAACACTACCTCATTTTCTGCTTGGGGACCCTGCGGCCCTCCAGACTCAAGAGTGCAATAATTTTAGGGCCTGAACTCCCACGTCTTAGCCCCCTACCCCAGACACCAGACCTTGTTATCATTCTGCCTTTACTCACTACCTATTGTTAGCCACCAAGTCTCCATTAACAGCTATTCATTCTCCTAGCCCAGATCATTATCCATTCCTTTGTCTGTCCAACTGTCTTCTTTGGACTGTATCCCCACCTATTGTTTACTCTGTACCTCCTCCCCCCACCCTACATTCTGCATATAAACCATCATTTTCTGAACTACCATCAGTTCCAAGGAAGAGTCACTAGATCCAAAACATTAACTGATTTCTCCTCAGATGCTGCCAGACCTGCTGAGCTTTTCCAGCAACTTCTGTTTTTGTTCCCGATTTACAGCATCTGCAGTTCTTTGGTTTTTATTTCGGTAGTACAGGAGTCTCAACACACTCACTTGTGAGTGGGCATTTGCGTTGGTTTCTTAGTAGTGCTGGCAGACCCAGGTCAATGGCATCATTAGGTAGCTCAGCTGTATAGGGAGGGGGAAGAGAAGAGCAATATTGATGGGGGTTGGGTAGGGGCGTAGTGGTAGAATCAGAATCCATTTTTTGGCCATATATGTGACTTTAGGGTTGCATTGTAATATCCTGAAGACAGTCAAATAGGTATCACAGGCTAGATGTGGGAGTAGTAGCCACAACTTGATTGTTGGGGGTGGGAGTGTGTAGAATGGTGCCGATTCATATACAAACACAGATTTCAAAAAGCTAGAGATTATTGAAAAGGTGATCTCCAAATCAGTAATTTCACGATTATTCCCAGCCCTACGTGCTAGTGAGCATAGA